TCAGATGAGATTTTGAGCTCTCCAGAACTCTTCATCACACAAAGATGGTATAAAATTTAGTTAAGGCAAATACAGTATCTTAAAAATTGGGCCAGAGTTGATGCCCACAGCCCATGAAACCAGACTGCCAGGAAAGCAAAACAGGGTGAGTGAGAAAGGTACCAATTTACAGGCTCTCCACTCTCTGCACATAGTTAGTTCACAAACACTCTGTTGGCTCAGGTTTGATTTCCCCCCCCCTTAATCAGGTATGCTTAAGAGTGTAATGTAATCAACATTATTCTGAAAGGTTTCTTGTCTGTTCTGACATGAAGCTTGGGCAGAGGGGAAGGAATCCAGTTGTTAAGACAGAGAAAAAAATATGGTCAACCTTGGTGTTCTGTCAGTAGGATGAGGCGGCTTTAGATACAGCCATCATAGATTCCAGGATTGATCTGACATTAAAAATCAGGATCAATGGCTGATCTCAGGGTCAGCCCAAGACATTTGATGTCTGAGGCAGAGCAGCTAATTGGCAACCCCACTTCCACTCAGGTCCAAGTAAATTAGAACCCAAAGCCGGCCGAGTTATTTGGATATGGAGTAGCTATCTTTCCAAGGCACCCCAGATCTGTTCCTTCCTCCTGTTTTGTGAGATACAGTACTTGCTGAAAATGGGTTGCGTTTCAAAGTCCTGCTTCTTCCCAAAAGTCACAGGTGGGCCGCGATGTGAGCATGAGGGACAGACACATCATGCCAGTCTGGGATGAGGAGTTTCTGCCCTTCCTCCAGTTCAGACCACGAGCAGCCACTCCCAAAGGTACAGCTAGGAAGGTACCTTCACACATATCCGGGATAGACTGGAATGATAATGGAGGTCTGAACCTCTCTCTCCTCTCAGGCAGGTTAGAGTGGGACCCACCTCTTACTCTTCATTCTTCTTCTTAACATGTCTTGCAAGCCCAAGGTAACACATCTTTTATTATCATGAAGCAAGCCCCACAGAATAAAAATTCATTTCCGAACATAGAAAAGTCAGGGTATCTACTTAGTTCTTAAGTCAGATATAGAGAAAACAATAACCACTGGACCGTCTAGCATTGATTGTCTATACCAGAAGTCAGCAACCTTAATGTCTCTCCAGTTGCTTTGGATGATAACTCCCACAATCCCTCATCATTGGTCATGCTGGCTGAGGCCTTTGTAATATGACTTCCAAAATATCTGGAGGGCCAATGATGCTCCACCACCCCCTGCCACCCCCAGTCTACATTGCCTTTAGGATTACAGATCAGAAAGTTTCCCAGAC